TAATAATTAAGTTAGTGGTTTTTATATAGCTTTAATTATAGGCATGATGGTTTCATCTATATTTATAGATTTTTATTTGATTTATTATCTGATTTTTAGATTGTGTGAGAGGGTTTTAGGAATATCAATGTTGGTTTTAATTGTTCGTTATTATGGTAATGATATATACTATTTTATGAATTTATCAAAGATTTATGATAAAATTAATCTTATTGTTTTTGTTTTCGGTTCCGTTAATTATGAAATTTTCTATAATTAGTTTTTATCCTATTTTGTGTTTTATAGGAGTCTTAATTATGTCAGTGTTTAATAAGTTTAGTTTTGATATAATAGGTTATTACAGTTTTGATTATTTTATATTAGATAAAAGTTCATATTCTTTGGTTATAATGACCTTATGGATTTTGGGTTTGATGTATCTTAGTTTAGATAAAGATGTAAATTTAAATTTTAAGATTATTACTTTTTTATTAATGCTTTTAGTTCTTTTAATATTTTTTATAATAAATAATTTAATGTTAATATATCTTTTTTTTGAGTTGTGTGTGTGAGTTTAATTCCTACTTATTTTATAATTGTTTATTGAGGGTCTAATCCGGAGCGTTTAAGAGCTTCTTTTTATTTATTAGTGTATATGTTGTTGATTTCATTGCCACTATTATATTATATATATGTTTTAATTAATGATAATATGATTGTTATGTTTTTTATATATGAAGTTTTAAATGTTAAATCTTTTGGGTGATGGGATTATTTAGTTATTACAGGGGCCTTTTTGGTTAAGCTTCCTATTTACATTTTTCATGTTTGATTACCTAAGGCTCATGTTGAAGCTCCTGTTTATGGTTCTATGATTTTAGCGGCTGTTTTGTTGAAGCTGGGTGGGTATGGTCTTTACCGTATTTTGTGAAGTTTAAAGGTCAATATAGATTATTGTTTACTTATTATAAGTATTGGTCTTTTTGGTAGTGTAATAGTTAGGTTTTTAAGAATAATTCAAGTTGATATAAAATTATTAGTTGCTTATTCATCTGTGGTTCATATAAATATAATGCTTGGAGGTTTAATAACATTAATGATGTTGGGGTGGACTAGGGCTATAATGGTAATAATTTCACATGGGATTTATTCTTCAGGGTTATTTTATATAGTTAATATGTATTATGAACGATCTCATAGTCGTTTATTGGTTTTAAATAAAGGTATAGTAAGATACCTTCCTGTTATATCAATATGATGGTTTGTATTGTGCTCTTCAAATTTCTCTTATCCATTGTCTTTAAATTTTTTTGGTGAGATTACTTTATTAATGACTATTTTAAGATGATGTCCTGGATTAATATTAATTATAATTTTTTCTTGTTTTTTTTCAGGTGCTTATTCTGTATATTTATTTAGATATGTTCATCATGGTAGGTACACATATAGATTAATAATAAGTGGACCTACAATTAAAGAGTTAGTGGTAGTAATTATACATTATTTGCCATTATTGTTAATTATTTTTAATCTTTTTATTTTTTATTATTTAAGTAGTTTAAAATAAAATTCTAATTTGTGGTGTTAGAGATGCTTGTAAAATAGGGCCTTAGATTATTTATTCAATATTAATGTATACATTATTTATATTTTTAATTTCTTTGTCTTTTTTAATAATAAGGGTTGTATTTAAAATATTAATAGTTGGGATTAGGTTGGAGTGATTAATTTATAGTTTTAAATCGTTTAATTTAATGTATTATGTCTTGTTAGATTGAGTTTCAATACAATTTATTGGAGTAGTATTGTTGATTTCTTCAATGGTTATGATGTATAGAACTATTTATATGGAAGGGGATAAAACATTAATACGGTTTTATATTAGGAGTATAAATAAGTTTCCGCCGTTTTTTATCAAAAGTGGGCATTTATTGTGAAAGAACGGTACATAATGTTTTATTCGAAGTATTGTCCATCGCTAGCCACTACCTTTTCCCATCTTTCTGGTAGCATACGGATACCTCGTCGAAAAAACGCTTCAT